TGATTATTTTCCCCTTTAGTAATAGGAACGACTTTCAGCACTTTGTTTTTCGAATTCTCATACCTCAGGGCATGCATTTTCACACCTAGCAGTGCAAGGTTTATTTTCGTTAGTGTCTGACCTGTTCTTCAGCTAATCTGGTATAAGAATCCAGAAGTAGTTTTTTCACATGCTTCCTTGACGATTTTGCAGTTTGTATAAACAAAACATGTCTGGCAACTGGTGCACAGCATAGCTGTTCTTACCTGTCTTTCCATAAAGAAAGATCTACTGTATTTAACTTAACTAAAGAAGTGCTTGTTACAGGAGTGGGGACCAGAAGAATTTTTGAGACTTACTTGAAGGAGTGCCTTTGAGAGGGAAAGGCACATGTGACACTTTCTTCTTAGGCACTTTTGAAGTTCTGCTATTTGAAGTGTTGAAGAATGTCATTGATAGACCTCACGCTTTTCATTGCAAACAGCCTTGATGATATTTCAGCTCTCCAACCAAAGCACTTGTGTCATTTGGCTTCCTGACTTTGACGTTCATGTTTCCTCAACCTTCTTTGGAAATGGAGCTCGCTCAGCAAAGCATTAAACTGAATAAAAGGAAAGAGGAATGTTACTTGTTAAATGAAATACTTTGGTTTGGATGAGTACACATCAGAGAGGAAGTATCAACTTGCACATCCCTTAAAACTTAGAGTTTGACATATTTTCACCCTATTTTAAGTTACCACTTAGCTTAAAAAAATACAAATAGCAAAATTATTCTCCTGTGTGGGACATTACTATGATGACCTCAAGTATTATTTTCAAGGTTCACTCCTAATTTCTAACTGCCTTTTTAAAGAGGTTCATAAACAAAAATTGCTTACTCAGATCACATACACTGGAGTCTTTTGAATATTTTGGGTAAAATACCTGTCCTGAAAGGACCTGTCAATGACTTATTCTTTGCAAGGCAAATAATTGCATACAGTGAACTGAAGTACAGTTCTGTGAGTTTGGAGCAGGCCTCTGATCTCTGAGAGCCTTTCACACAGCACACATTAAACTGCACCAAACTAACCTGCCTTGCATTGGTGTACAAAACCAGCTGTCTTTTCTGTTCATGCAGCTTACACTCTTTGATTTCCAGAGAGATGGAATAGTTGCAGACAGTGCAATCCTATGGAGTGTTGGGCTAAAGCTGTCTTTGAGAAGGGTAATTTTGGTCATAATATCTGACTTTACTATGAGTTTATAATACCTATTGTAATGAAATGTGGGATTTGGAGTAAGTCTGTAACAAAGGAGATTTGGGCTGAAGTATCATGTTTAGATTTGATCAGTTTAATTTCTTGTTTAATTTATATGTATCAATGTTGGTTGGAAACTGGCTGGGCTCAGAGGTTTGATGATAGGTTAAAAAATAAATAAATCCCATGTGTGATGTATTAGAAGGGGAACCTCTCAGGTATTGATGCAGGAAAGGATCTGAAGGTCCTGTTGGATGAGAAAAGGAATGTGAGTTGTCAGCAAACCTTTGCAGCAAGGAAGACCAACCTCACACTGTGCTCAGCATTTTGAGAGAAATTATTATTCCTGTACTGTTTGTCACTTATGAGACCTCATCTGTTGTATGATGATGTGCTGTATCTAGCTTTAGGTTTAAGTTTGAATATTGATATAGCAGAGTTAGCCCTATGGAGGGCTAAGGGGGCCCTAAGTTAACCCAAGTTGCTAAGGGGGCAAATGTGAGTGATGTGAGAGAAGCAGTTAAGAAAGCTGCATTTGTTAAATCTTAGAAAGGGAAGCCTAAGAGAGAATCCTACTGCTGGCATCCCCCCTGCCCCAGGTACAGAGGTGGCCTCTTCTCAGAAATGTACACTGAAGGTGTTGGAAGCTATGGACAAAAACTGCAGCAAGGGAAGGGTTGAGTGGATAACAAGGAAAAGATTTCTGCAGTGAGAACAGTGAAGTGTTGTACAAAGTTGTTTGGAGGGTTTTGTAATCTGTGGAAATGCTTGAAACTGTGTATGATCCGGTAGCTTCCCTAGTGCTGAAGTATGGTTTTTATTTCTTTTTCTTCACTTAGTACATTAAAATATCTTCTGTTTTTCATTTTTACTGAACAGACTTTAATGAAAGAGTAGCAAAACTAGTTAGTGTAAATTGCTTCAAAAATTCTTGGAATTATACTGATAACATTGTGAATGTATGGGAACAAATTGGGTCCTTCTCTACTTTTATTTCATCAGAGGATTTAAAATTTCAGATGTAATATATTAAAATAAACTTCAAATGAGAGGAGCTTTGAGAGCTTATGAAATTAAAAATGGCAGTTCTGCAGTTTACAGATGAGTGGTGTGGTCCGGGATGATGAACTGGATGCAATGAAAGGGAATGTTCTCCAGGGGCAAAGTGTACTTGTTTGCCTTTGGCCAACCTCAGCCCAGTCCTCAGACAGGCTCTGAGCCTTCCAGAATCCAGACCTGTGGCTGGGGTGGGAGGCAGTGTGGGATTTTGGGTTTGGGCCTTTTCCTGGGGAGTGCAGCTGACCATGACTGTGGGACCAGGTGGCTGCTGTTGTTACAAGGTGATTGAGCAACAGAGGCTCTGGACAAGGGATTTCAAAGCCTGATGTCAGTCCCTCCAGGTGCTTATGCTGAGAGCATCTACTGCCCCTTTCCCTTCTTTTTGCTGTACTCTGACATAATGTGTGTGTGAAATTCACACTGTAGCAAGGAATTTATCCTTGCTTTCTAAGCATGGGAAAGACTCTGCAAACCATATTAAGTTATAAGTGTGCTCAGCCCTGATAGACTCACTTGTTTCCTGCTGCAGCTAACAATGGGGTTTCTTGTGCATGACCAAAATATTTCTTACTTACTGTAAAACCTTCTCATTCTAGTTCTGTTCAGAAATGTTACGTTTCCAGGGTGCCAGGGGATTAGCCAGCCTTCCATGCAGTATACCCTAGGTTGTATCTAAAATACTATAGTGTACAAATTTTGAGCCTTTAGATTTTCAGAAATTTTGTTCTCTTATTTGTTTTGTTAAATTGTACGTCAGAGGTTTAACATGAAAACATTTTAGTCAAACTTTATAAACTGATCAACTTCATTTTTAAGGGATGTGCAAATTGTATGATGGACTTTCTGATGCGTGTCAAAGTGTGCTCATTTGCCATATGGGCATTGAATAAGTAAATAAAATTAATTTTTTTTGGTTGGCAAATATTAATAAGATTTCATTATTATACTGTAGCTGTCTAATTGAGTGGTAGTGGCATTTTTTTTTAAAGTGGGAATTGTGTGTCTTTAATATGTATTTGGAAGATGTGATTGTCATTGTTTTTGCAAATGTCTCTAAAGCAATGGTGCATCAGGAAGATTAAAAAAACAAACCTGGGGTTTATTTTCCCCTTCCTTGTCTTTTCGAGGAACCAGCATATATTGCTAGCATGTATCAAAGCTGTATCTAGAGTTTTGAGGATAAATTAAGCAGAAGGTGCTCGGTTTAGGCAAAACCAAATACCTGTGAAGAGGCATAAAGGTGCTCTTAAGAGAAGATGCATGCAGGAAGTGACACTTCGAGTTGTTTGTTGTCTGATCTGGAGATGAGTATATCTGAAGTATCAGGAGAAGCTTTAGTGGTCTTCTTTTGGTGGACTTTGGGAAATGGAGCTGGCACTACAAATTTACGACTGATGAATTTGACAACTATGATTAGATGAAAACTAAGCAGGCTGGTAGCCAGGTGGCATCTGGGGTGTGATTTGTCTTCATCAGAACTTTTCTAGTAGTGCTTAAACAGTAAAACGTAAGTGAATGGTAGTTGAGAACAAGTAAATGTTGAGCTTACCATGGATATCTCTCCCAGCTACACAGTATAAAAACATAAATGGAAAAATAAGTGCTCCCTTGATGCTTTTGCTATTTTATCTGGTCTCTTAAATTTTGTCTTGAAGAAATTGTGGTTTAAGAGTCTGCAGTTAGCTGGAAGTTTTAAGGAAAAAAGTTCTAGGTTTTTGTCTTTCTATTTGGTAGGACATGTTACAGGACAGTATTGGTCCTTGTAAGTTACTGTAGAATGACATTGTACTGAAATTTGCTGTAATGAAAAGATAATGCTGATGCATTTATACTTCCTGAAATATATATATTTCCTGAGGGAAGGCTTCTCCTCTGCAGTAACGCTGACTTCTGCATGCCCTGGTCTTTCTGGGACAGTGATAATGGTGGTGAGAGCTTTTCTGGTGGTTAACTTTTTGCCTTTCTCCTTTCTAAAATCCTATTTTATTTATTGATATTACATATTTGGGTTATTCAGACATTATTTGCAAGGCATGACCAGATCTTTTCAAGTCCAAGATAGAGAGGTGATGATTTTTACAGCACTCTTCTCACTAGAGGAAGAACTAACACATTTCAGTAAAATAGGTTTAGTGGCCCTGGGTAGAGTAGAGGATGACCAGTTTCTTAGGTAAGCCCTAAGAAACTGGGAGAGTGATGAGAAATGGACTTTCATGCTGAAGAAGACTTGGGATGGCTGGAACCTTAACAGGGTCTGAGTGAAATCTACAGACAAAATATGGATGGTGATCCAGGACATCATGAGGGACATGTACCCTCAAACACATACATTAATCCAATATCAGTATTCATATTTGAAACCAGATTTTTGGTAAAGTGGATATCACACGTATATCTTGTCATGTTCAGAAAGCTGCATAAAGCTTTGGAATAAAGTGCTGCTTTTTAAGGAGGAAGGCGAGAACACTGACTTCAGGTTAGTGTTCTCATTCTTTATATCTTAAAATACATGGGACTTGATTCTGCAATGAATCATGCTGGGAAAAGATAAATTGAAAAGTAAAACAAAGTACTACATGACTTGTGATAAACCTGAGTACTCCATGCTGTGTTTGTTTTGGTTAGTTTCTATTTAAAATTCAGGCAGTGGCTGTCTCCACTGAAATTATAGTGAAATAAAATTATTTCTAATGCTTCCTGTCTTTGGTTTTATTTACAGATGACATGGCAGAGCTTCTCCTTGGGGAGTCCAAACTAGAACAATTTTTGAAGGAAAATACTCTTAAACAGAGTAGTAGTCCACGGGCCCCCAGCCAAAGCTGACTGAGGTCAGGAAACATCTCACGGCGGCTCTTGATAGGGGAAATCTAAAGGTATGTAAGTCAGTCTGAGCAAGAATTGGAAAAGTTGAAATTGTAGTATTGAGAAAAGTTTCCTTAAATTATATTTGGAGGTGCAGAAATTGATGTTAATATCTGAGAGCATTTTCTGTCAGAACCTTCTGATGCTCTTAACTGTTCTGGTCCTTCTTTTACTTAACTGTTGTTGTAGTTGCTACATCAGCTTATCTCTTCTGTACTCAACATCCATCTTTTGAGAGATTAAGAGAAGCTTGTTTTACAGTCATCTATAACTTTTGTTTCCTGTGGTTTCTGGGAGTATTAATTTCTCTTCCTTTTCTCTCCTTATTCATCCATTAATCCTTTTTTTCAAGACATTTATTCTGCCCTGATACTTTGAAATTGTATGAATTAAATATGTAGACTGTGGAATGGATATCATCAAGTTTTGATACCATGTTATTTTCAACTGTGCTTGTGGTGTTAGAAAAAAAATAATTGGAGGGATTGTAATGATAGGCTGCCTTTAAATAGTTTTTGTGGATTCCCCCTTACTTCAAGCTTCTCAAATATTAAAGGAGACATAATTTTGTTGGTTTGTTGCTCTGTTAGAAGAAATATCCTGAGGGTTTCTACATGAATATATACAGAAAACACACCTAATAATTACTGGAAGGAAATAGGTGTGTTTTCCCAGGAAAAACCCTTTCTTATTTCTCTTCTTTCTAGCCAGAATTCCTACAAGAAGCTAACCTAATTATGGCCAAATTAAACTATGTGGAAGGTGATTACAAAGAAGCTCTGAACACATATGCCAGAGTTGGCGTTGATGACTTGCAGCTCACGGCAGTGCCACCGTACAGGCTACGGATGATTGCTGAAGCATATTCTACAAAAGGTAAGATTGCTCATTCCAGTATCATAATGTATTTTAAAAGTTAATTTATATCTTGTCTGAAGTTGGAGACTTTTTGTAGTGTGAATATCATGAACATGGTAGTGGAGTACCATATTTATAGATGAAATAAGAGGGCCCTTTAAATTATTCAGAATTTGTGCTAGGTCGACAGGACATGTGCCTCAATTAATATTCTAACTGTGCTGTCACCTGATCAAGTTTTTTGAGTGTATGTATTTAAAAGTCCTTCCATATATAAATGTCACAGTAACTGTGGCTAAATACTAAAAGCATTATAATTGTTGCTGAAAGTTAAGAGTTACAAAAAGCAGTGCAGTTTTGTGGTTGCTGTGGGCAGAATGGAGAACCTTAATTCACTGTCATGCTTTTTACTGAATGTTAAAATGCTCAACCTAAGCTATGTTGCATAACTAAATTACCACTTAATTGAGAAAAGTAGTAATGCATGACTTGGAAGTTTTACTTCTGAAATTTTCTTACAAGGATATAGTTTTTTAAAAACAGAAGTGAAGTTAATTAAAAAATATTTTCTTTTTTAGTGGTCTAGTGTGATTGTAATGCTGGCCTTGTGTCTTAAGGTGGCAGTGCCACTTCAGTTTAGAAAGCTGTAATAGACTTCAAGCTGGGTCAGTGCGTTGAGGAAAGTGTCAGTTTGTATGCCAGAGGTTTATTAGAATTTACTGAGCTAAATGTTTGCTTTGGTCTGCTGTGTTTAAGCTTGGGTTTGGTTGCACATGTACTTTTTGTTATGGCAAGAGGAGTGTCAAAGGCAGCAAACAATTTGTGAGAGACTTCAATAGCATTAACTGACAACTAATCAAGGATTGTTTCTAATGTTAGTCTTGGAAGAGAGTGACTGAATTCCACCAACACAGTCCTCTAGTAAACATTAGACAAGCATGAATCATGGTCTGTAGAGATGTCAAGGAAATGAGGGAACTAACTGACAAAAGGATGCTTTGTAAGTCTGGTCACTGTTTAGATCAAAGTGGGAAGGGAATACGGGGAGTTCTTCTATATGATGTAAATCTGCCCAGTTTTGTCACACAACATCTGTGTGGGCTTTAGAGCAATGTCTGGTTTGGGTACACTCAGCTTTGTGGATTTTGGCTGGGTTTTTTTGCTTTGTATCGTTTTTTAAGTCTGTGAGGATGTCTTCAATTTGTCATGTTCTTTCCAGCAAAATGAAGTCTTGGACTTGATCAACTTTAAGTACCTAAATTTACTTATATCTGCAAGGAATCCCAGTAATTCAACTGAATCTTTTCCCAGAGCATCAACTCTTCATTTTATTTGACCTCATAAGGATACAAACTGGTTGAAATGTAGTAGCATACATTTTTCAGAAAAGATTAATATTAATAACTTAATTTAAATATAATATATGCAGAAATAGAAAAATATGTATTTTTTTCTGCTCTGGAATGTTTTGTAGGTTCAGATTTAAAGGAAAAAAAAAAGAGAGAAGAAAACCAGCATATCTTCTGTCCAGATGTGTGTTTTTTTTTTTTCTTCTGATTTCAAATTTTATTCTTAAAACATTGAAATATGTCATATGAAACCTTATATATCTTGACTGGATTTTGCTGGTTTGGTCACTTCTACTGGGTGACTCGCTACCAATTTACTTGAGCAAACCAAGCAAACTGTTGGGGTTTTGTTGTTGTTTTGTTCGTGTTCAGAAACATCATTTTTAGTTTCCAGTTTAAATGGAATTGTAAGATGATTAGGGATGAAAGGGACATTAAAGATCATCTAGTTCCAAACCTCCTACCACAGGTAGGGGCACCTTTCTCTAGACCAGATTGTTCAGAGCCCCATCCAACCTGGCCTTGAACACTTCAGGGATGGGGCATCCACAACTTCTCTGGGCAACTTGTTCCAGTGTCTCACCACCCTCCCAGTAGAGAATTTTTTCCTGATATCTAATATTAATCTGCTTCCTTTCAGTTTAAAGACATTCCCCCTCCAACTTTCTTGTAGGCCAGTTTAGGTACTGGAAGGTGCTCTAAGACTCCCTGGAGCCTTCTGTTTCCCAGGCCAAGCAACTCCAACTCTCTCAGAAGATTCATAAATTTTAATTTCCCTTATTCCCATGGTAGAAGATTGCAAGAATATAGTCCTTTTTGTGTTCTAGAATGAGACGATAATCACAGAGCAGTCTTAAATTCAGTATTCAAAGTCTAGACAGGTTTAGAGTACTTAACAACTAAATAACATATGCTCCTACCCAGTAGTGTGCATTTATTTCTCACTGTCTTCCCCCTTCTGGCTGGATTTTCTTCTTTCTCCTTGTAAGAGTGAACTATAAACTTTGCAGTCTGAATTCAGAGTCTCTTCAGAGGTGACTGAGGTTTGTAGCTATTACCCAACTAAATACAAGTTATTCTTACAGGGATTCTGTGCTTCACTGGGATTTGTATTTCTTCTTGTAAGTTCAAGGATAACTGGATTCTATAAAGATAAAACTCTTCAGGGTATGTAGATTCTATTTCTTTGGCAGTCATAGCACCATGTTATTAAGCAGCAAGGGACTGTCTGCAGCTGTTTGCATTGGCCCAGCTGCATTATGCAGTGCTGCAGCCTGCGGAGGCAGGGGAGGATACCTGCTGGATTTGCCCCGATTCAGTCCAGTTCCAGTGGATTTGCAGTCTTATATGCTAATGTGTCTGATACTGCTGTTCTTACCACTGATAAAAGCACAGGGCAGATAACTAATGGTAAATTTTAATCACCTTAAGTGTTTTTTTTCCTTATTTAAGGTGGGACCACCTCCAAGTGCTTACCTTCTCACTCACTTCTCACCTTCTCATTCTGTAACCTCAGAGGGGACAGATTGGGTGGGATGCTGGAGAGAGATTCCTAAAGATATGCTCAACTCTTCGGGAGGTGTGTGTGTTTATTTGTGTGTATATATGTGTGCACGTATATAAATATCTGTTTGAATGTATTTATGTTGTTAGAAGGTAAGTTGTGAGAAAAATCCAAAGAGGGAGATTCTTCCTCTTCAAGCTCTCGAGAGTTGAGTGTGTGTGAATGCATTACCCCCTCAGGGTTGTTTCTATACTTTACTGCAAAATGTTCATTAAATTACAATAGTCTGCTTTCTGAAAGTCTTTGTTACAATAGTCCAGGAAATTTAGTGTCATTGCACCCCTTAAGTCTTCAACTTGGAGTAACTGTTAAACCAAAGAACTAAAGCTATCTACTGCCTGTGGCACGCTCACAAAGGAAGTCTTCAAATTTTTTACTACATAAATGAGTTAAATACATATATATCTTTAAAAGAATGCTTTTAGTTTGATATGCTACTTATAACTTTAGTTGTGGATGCACAGTTATAAGACTGTATGTGAGAAGAGACATGATATGGAATGGTAGTAAGTCAAGCTAAGGATTCAAAAACTCAAGTCCAGCAAGGAAGATAGTTTTTATTTTCTTGGAAATGTGTAGGTAGAGAAATGCTGCTTCAATCTTCTGAAGAAAGTTTCTCAATAGATTTGTTAAAATGCAATATTGTAGAATTTCAACAAAATTTTAAGAAAAACTTATCAAATTATCTTTGAAATATTTTCTATTTCCTTTACACATAGCTCTTTGCCAACCTGTGATGTGCAGGGAATCAGAGGGTCTAAGTGCCCAAGCAGTGTTGGAAAGTAGTTCCTGTCTGTCACTCCTCCTGGAGAAAATAGTCAAAATTGTTGGTGTGGTGATAAAGGCATGGCTGTGTTTTATCTGGCTGAAGAGCTCATAGACAGGTTGTTTGGTTTTAGTTTTTTCCTGGCTCTGGCAACAAAAAACGCTGCTAAGTAGTGATGTGTTGTGGTTTATCCTGAATTAGAAGAAGATGTAAGATGGTTTGATGAAAAGTTATCTGCTACTGTGTCCATTAAAACAGCAGGGAGTAGACTGGCCATGTGAATGCACGATGCATTCACGATGCAGAAACTTACTAGAATAGGTCAAGACAGCACTGTTTAGATATCCCTCATGTAAAAACTGCAAGGAGGTAACTGCCTCACAGTACACTGAATGTAGTGCAATTCTGATATTTTCCTGCCTTTCTTTACCATTTCCTCAAGTTCACAGGTTAAAAACAGAGTTGTAGGAGAGAATAATTTTCTTTTATGTAGTTAACTTCATGGAGTAACATACTTTTTTGACCTCACACTGACTTTTTATATATGTGTGTGTGTGCTCATAAAATACAGTTCTGATTAGACCTGGTGATTTCTTTACTTTAAGAAAAGAGCTAATTTTGATGCTGTGCTTCTGAGTAATGGCTCTATATGGCTACGTAAAAGATGTTGTGTGGGATAGAGTATTAATGAAATCATAGGTTTTATATTAAATACATAATTTTCAAAGATTCAGAACCTTACTTGGAGACATTCAGGGGAACATTTAAAAAATATAATACAAAACATAAGTTGGAAAGATGGAGCTTTTCAAATCAGTAGTTGACTTAGTATTTGCAAAAACATGAGAATGCTTATTTGGATCTGTAGGTTAACTTTTTCCCCATCTGCTTGTAAATTCATATGACACAAAAGCAAAAGAGAAGCACCCGATAAAACAATTTGCTGTAGCAAAATGCCTGTGGTTGGAGGTGCCAGTTTATTTCAAGAATGTGTGATGAGGGAGAAAAAAATAGGCATAGAAGGATGACATTGCTGAGGAAATGGGCAGGTTTGCATGACTGTTGTTCGGAAGTGTTAGCCTGAGGGCAGGTGTATGAACATTGCTGGAGCTGGCTCCCTGAAGCTGTTGCCTGTGAGTCACAGGAGCACATCATACGTTTTAGTATGAAGTTTTAAGGAGCAGTACAATAAAAAAAAACGTTTTTTTTTCTTCTGGCACAAAAATAACTTGGACCTCAGTAGTGGTTATTAGAGCTTTGTTAAGCAGTTTGAGCAAAGCTAAGAAATGAGGCTGGGCAGGGGAGTGGAAAGGAAGGACAGTCTTGAGATTGTGGTGGC